CTCCGTGTATTAACCAGTGGAAATGTGATGGGACAGCTCTGCTCTGGAACATGTGGCACGTCTCACTGGAGTGGAAAGTGTGTCACACCCGCGTGTCCCTGCAAAGGCCACAGCTGAGGAGGCAGCTTGTGCTGGGTTTTACACTCCAGCGACGGGAGTGCCACGTGCCGGGGACGCTGAGGTGGCTCTGGGCTCTCGTCAGCTCCGTGCTTCCTGAAATGTAAAATCAAACCCAATAAAACCTCCTCAAACCTAGAAAGAATCTTCTGATGATGAGAGTGAGGGATGGCAGAGAGGGCACGACAGTCAAAGCACATTATGTGCTGCTGGATGTAGGAAGAGCTGCCAGAATAAGGGATTTGGAGGTTGCTGTTCTGATATTTTTAAGGATTCCCATTTTACTTTTCTCTCATAGAATCTGTTGCAGTAATCAATATTTGCACACACCCAGTCTTAAGTTTTCCCCCCTAATTGATGTCTGACACCTCAGCTGCAGATGGGAATTGAAGGAGTTGTTAGTTTCATGGAACAGCAGTGGATTGATGGTTGTTGAAGTTGCTCAGAACTGGAAAAGTCACTGTGCAGTCTCAGGTTCTCTCACAGCCCATGGCCAGAGTTATTCAGGAGACAGAAACCACTCCTTCAACCAATCCCTCAGTCAGTCCTTCCTGGGTCATTCCAGGTGCAGTTAGACCCTGCCCTGTGAAGGAATGCCTCAGTGATGAACTAACAGAAATAAAATTATTCCTTATGATGAAAAAAAAGTAAATTCCTGAGCCTGAAGCCTGACTCATTTTAGCTGTTACAAAAGATTTCTGCAGACTTGGTGACTTCTTGTGTCACAGGCAAGTAATAAAAATATTTTCAGTGGAGATGGTGAAGTTCACAGCTAAGGTGAACTTTTTTTCCTGTGCTGATAGACTTGATCAAAGCATTTGAGGAAGATGCAACAGTGAAGTTTGTATCTTCTGGTGTTTAACACAACTATTTTAGTGCTGTATCAAATAGCTCCCTCCCTTGTATTTAAAGGATTAGATTTAGTAACATGTGTCTAAGGTTGGTACAGGTTTTTCTTATTTAGAAATAAGTGTTTCCATGCTTTTTGTAATTTGTGGTGCACTTAAAATGTCTCTGCTGCTTTGTGATTCAGTGCTGCACACACATTTTGGGGGAAGTGTCACTTTCTGAGAAATTTTGTGCTGCTTTTCTTGATTTTGAATGAATCTGTTAAGTACCATGAATTAGAAAATTACTTACAGAGTGGAGTTTTCAAGTTTTTATTGTGAAAAGATGGGATGCAGAGAGCCTAATGAAGGCTCTCTGCAGTGGTGTTTAAAAGAAATAATTTAGTTTATTATTTTTTTAAAGTTTTCATTCTGGTGTGCATCCCTCAGAAAGAAAGGGGAGAATTGCCCTGCTGAAGAGGGCTTAGAGGAGTTTAGTGCCAGGCCTGGAAAACAAACCTTACAGCTTAAGGCTCAAAAGTTTTTTTTCACTTTCTTGGTGCCTGGACTGCTCTGGGTGATTACTGACAAAAGGTAACTGAAGGCAGTGAGCCTTTTTGTGTCCTTGACAGAGACACAGAAGCCAAAAAGCACAATATGTACCAATTCTGTCAGGCACTAAGAAGTCATTTCATAAAAATAAAAGGATCAAAATGTTGGAACCGCTCACCATAAAAATAGAGGACTCATTGTTGGTCAAAGTCTTTTAAGACAAGATTAGGTTGCTTGGTAAAAAATAATTTCTTTGAGCTTCTGGGACATTTTGTGCATGGCCTGGAAAGAGAAGATGATCCTTCCAGAATTGAAATCTGTTAATCTGAGCAAACCTTCTTCAGGGCCCTTGAGGAGAACAGAATTGCCTTTGTGGTCTCACCATGTTCCTAATATTGCTACAAAGATCATAATCAAATCTCATGCTTCAACTTTCCAGTGTAAAGGTTCAGGCAGGAATTTTTCCAATATTCAATTAATTAACTCTGTGCTCTGGTTTTGTTTTGCTTCTCTTCCCCTTCTGTGAAGCACCAGAGAGGTAGAACAGGAGAATTGTAACCACCCCTGCTGATTAAAGACTTGGGTCACTGTCAGCATCCTCCACATTCCCACAAGGAAATAGCCTTTTTTAACCAGCAATTTATTGGTAGATTTGATGCTTTATAGAGTAGTAATTAAAAAAAAAAACAGCTCAACCTTGTGGAGTAATTTGCTGTGCAAATCTTTTGGGTATGCCTTGAACAGCCAGTTCCTTGGAATTGCAGTCACTTTTCTCTCACCTGTTGTCTCTGCAAGTTTGGAAATTATATTCCAGTTCAGGCTCTTAGCAACCTAATATTTACAGCAAATTCTATTTTTTTTTAATCCTGCAGGTTGTTAAAGCTGGGCCTAGTAAGAGATTATGTTGAACTATTAGTTACTTTAAATAGGCTTTCCGTGTAAGTTTTAATAATTTTGTTTCCTCTTAAAGGCACCAAAAGTAATTAATAAAAATAAGTCTGTATGTAATTAATAAAACTAAGCCTTTGCTTTAGGCTGGGCTTTAAAGAAACTTTGTGAAGGTGGTATGAAATGCAGTGATATTGGCCAAAGATTTTATTAAAGGCCACAATTGACTGGAAAATCGTCACGTAAAGAACGTTTCGTAGAGGGCAGCTTTCCCAGCAAAAGTTTTATTTCAGTTTTACACCTCCAAGCTCTTTTTTTTCCTTTCTAGACTCATGAGACCAGCCTGTCACTGAGGTCCATCTCTCTTTGAGTGGGATGTTCATCGTGTGGCAGAGAGGAGGACAATCAACCCTTGATAAAGCAAAGCCTTCAAGGCACAGTAAAATTTTCCTCATGTTGATTCCATCACTCTTCTCCTTTTAAATTTTTTTTTTCCATTAAAAGAGCATGAATGTTTTGAGTGGTATGTTTGTCTCTGTGCAAACATTTTGCACAGAGCTTTTTTACCATGGTGGGACCCAGCAGTTGTGGGAGGAGGTGATGCTGTCATGGGGCACGAGCACAGATGTCACCAAGTGCCATCTGGATGAGGCATCTGCTATTTCCCCTCCATGCCTGCACTGCAGCACTCAAATAGAAGAAGATACAAAGGCCTGAGTGTATTTATACATTTATTATTGCCACATTTGAAAGTTGTTGGTGGATTTGTGTCCATTACCTTTAAAGAAGTTGCTCTCTCTGCAGCTGTTTGAACAATCAGGATGCAAACTGAATATTTGTTGATAATCTGTGGGGCTTACACACAAGAATTTTATTTGTGACAGAATTTCAGAGTTTTTCTGGCCTATCTACAAAAAATATTCCAGGCTAGGGGACAAGGAGCAACCTGGGATAGTGGAAAGTGTCCCTGTAAAGTGGATGAGCTTTCTTTAAGGTCCTTTCCACCCAACCCAATCTGGAATTCTGTGATTCCATAATATTCCGTAGTTACTGGCATTTGAACACAAGGTTTTACACAGTATGGTTGACAAAAGCATTGGTAGAATGGTCTTACCATGGTCAACCAAGAGATAATAACAATAATAATAATGCATTTGAGTGACAGAATTATTACACATAAATTGGAAAAACTGTTCAAAACAGGCTGATGTGAAAATAGTAATCACTATTAAGTGTGTTTATATAATTTTAGCTATATCTACTTTGGAGATTCCTGTTTTGAAATTCCCCTTCTATCAATATTATAATTTGCTAGAGGTAATAAATCACTTAATTTAAAAAAGTTTGTACCTAGATCTTGCAGTGGCTTTCTGTGTTTTTGAGCAGGAGTGAACTTTAATGTGAAGGAACTGACTCGAGTTTCACTGGTTTAAAGGTGTTTTTGAAGGGCCTTTGAAGTGCTTGAAGTAATAAATTGCACCCTCTAGTTATTAGCCTAGAAAAATGTATATTTTGGGGAAAATTTCAGTGGGCAAAATGTCAAAAGTTATTTTTTCAGTTATTTTTCTGACAGTTGTCTTGCTGTGCATTTACTGTATATTTTGCATTACTGTATATTTTGCATTACTGTATATTTTACATTAGTGTATAAACCATTTTATGATCTTGAGGCATTGGGGGTAAACAGTTGACATTTGTCCTCCAGCTTTCCAGAAAATTCTCGAGCAGCTTGAGCAGATCCAAGAGACAAGTGAGTGCTGGGGCAGGAATTGTGTGAAACTCTGTAAAATAAAACAGATACGGGCAGGGGGGAACACCCTCTTTTACCAATGCTCAGGACATGTTTGTACAGCTGGCAATTTGTGCTCCTTCATATTCCTTGACCTAGAAATAGCCAAGGTTTTAATGCGTTCTTGGAGGGGGAGAAAGGTGTTGTGGAACAGAGCTGCCACATCAAAGCCTCTCCTCAGCCCCTAAAAGGGTTTCCACCACTGCCTTCCTCGGCCCTATCGAACACTCAGCACTTTTCCCACTCAGCCTTTTTTATTAAGAAATGGCCTTAAAGCTTTTATTTATATGAAAATGATAAAAGTGACACAAAGAGTTGAAAAGATCTGTACGGTTCAAACAAAAGTCCATCAGGGATGTAATGTAAATTCTGGGTGAGGTGTCTCCATCGGCCCCAGGCAGGCAGCTCAGCTCTCAGCTGCTGCTCTGGGGAGAGTCCTCCCTGTAGGAGAGAGTTACTCTGAGGAGTAGTTTTGTACTAGGATGTGGTTTAAAACTTCCAAAGTCTTCCTGGTAGTAAAAGAGACCAAGTGTTTGATAATCAGTTGCACAATACGGGTTTATGGCCATCATAGAGATCATTATTCAGTTTTCCTTCTAAATGTAGGAGGTTTATATTGACCCTTTGTTCTCCAGGGTTCTGCTGGGATTGCTGGAATTCTGGGTCCAGGACTTGATGTTCTTGGAGGTCTTTTCCAATCTTAGTAATTCTGTGGTTCTGTGACTTTTCCTTCAGGATGCTAAGCAACACAAGGAAGCAGAAAGAATTAAACTCCAGTTTTTAAAATGCCCTGATTTCCATTAAATTCTTATTTTTATTCCTTTCAGCACCAGCCCACCCTACTGCTGTGTGGATCTGTATTCCCTGAGGACAGGAGAGATGGTCAAGTCCATCCAGTTCAAAACTCCTATTTATGACCTGCATTGCAATAAAAGGTAAGGGTGCTCTCTCTGCATTCCCTGTGTGTTTGGGCGTGCCAGATTTTGGTAATAAATAAAATTTCTGGTGTATGACCTTCCTGATTTTCTGTTTCTCACTCTCCTTTAAGCACAGCTCTGATTCTCTGTTTCTCAAGGAGTATTTCAGTTGGAATGCATCAGTGTACATCCCCCATGGCTTTGGTTTAAGAAGCTCAAACAAAAAAAATCATTTAAGCTTCTTTCAGTTGTGCTAAAGGGTGAGCAGGAATCGCTGAAATCCTCGATGATCCACCTACAGCTGGGGAAATGGGATCACAGAGAGTTTAAACAGCACAGAGCACTAAGGAGTTTATGTCTCTTCTTTGTGTTGGTCTGTCAGATTTTGCCTCCCTGCACATCCAAAACATTCCTGGTGTGCAGTCTGTGGTTTGCAGGGAATAATATTCCAGTGAGTCAAATAACAAAGCAGCATCTCTGGGTAGGGATAGAGAGAAAATAGTCTGGAGGCTGAGGATGACAGAGTTCCAGAGGAACAGCATCTGTTGTGTCCATGGAATCAAATTTTGCTGAGTTAATGTGAAATGCCCGTCTCTCCCAGACACACAAAACTGGAGTTTTGTGGTTTGCTTTGTAGTTTGCCGTGTCTTTTTAAGGCAGAAGAGAAATCCCAGGATCCGTGTGTGAGGATCCTGCTGATCCCTTGGCACTCCTGGTGGGAGAATTTGGGGTGGTGACTTTGGTCCAAGCCCTGCTGACGTTCTGCTCCCTTCACCCTCCCATTAGTGCCATGAGTCACCGTGGCCTCAGGTGCCCTGGGGGAGTGGTGCAATCCAGCTCCTGGGGTAAAGGTAGAGCCCTGGATGAAGAAATTCCTGCATTTCTTTGGGAATCCATATTGCCATGCCAGAATGGATGGTCCTTCAGTAAATAATAACACAAATCATTGGGAAATTCAGAATTATTTGGTTTTTGTGCCTGGTTTTGATGCAGATGGGGAGTGTGCATCACACTTGTGCAACTAAGTGTAAACTGCTAATAAAAATAAATAGATCAATAAATGCTCTGGAATCATCCATCTGGGGGGTTCATTTCTGCAGAAAGACAGAGTGTCTTCAAGGAGGAGAAAACAAAAATCTCCAGGACTGAGAAATATTCCCAAATATCCATAGGTTTTCAATACATACACATTACACTTCCACCTGCAGTCAAAGCCTTCCCTTTATTCATTGGTTTCCTTTACTTTATGCAATGTAGAAAAAGTTAGAATTGATGTATTATCTTCTGTTTTTCTCTCCTGCAGTTTCAACAATTGGAAGATGTCATTTAACTAAAACTACTAATATGTCCAAAACGAATTTATGTTATTTATTTATCTGAAAACATCAGCAAGCATGAGGGGATGGTGAATATTTTGATTTTAGTGTAGTCCTTCCCAGGTATTGAGCTCTCATGGGATAAGAGGAAATGTTCTTGTACCAAAACAGATGAAAATAGGGAAAAAGGGGTTAAAGGCTGATTTCACACTGCTGGGAGAGAATCATCACCCTTTCCCCAAGGACATGAGTTGAGGCTGAGGTGATTCATCCCTTTTAAAGGTGACTGTTCCAGGCTGTAACACACAGTCATAATGTTCACATGAAGCTTTAGGTGTGTGTTTTAGTCAGTGAGAGATGTGATTAATTTTTTTTCCATGTTGTATCTTTACAATTAGAACCATTAAAACACTATTTAATAATGCTCTATATTGACAGCTAATTAAAAAATACTTTCTCACAGTCTGCCTAATGAGAGAATAACAGATTATTAATTATGTCATATTGCTAAATGTAGGTTTTATGTGTTGGTTTCCCAGGTACTTCTTTCATGTCAGGCTTTTAAAAACTTGATTTTGGGAAGTAATCAGTGTGGGAGAAAGTGTTCCCTGGTTCTAAAACTTGCAAGATGCTGCTCTGCTTCCACATTTGCATCTCTGGGCTCTTGTTTTTTGAGGCAGCACCATGTTTCCTGTTATGCTGTGGTTTTGGCCTTTACAATAAAAGTGTAATGTACAAGCAAACACATAAACATCCATCTTTAATATGCTAATTGACCCAAATTCTGCTTCTCTCAGCTCTGTTTGTGTTCATCTCAGCTGATGTTCTTGGTATTACACTCCCCCTTGCTTTTAGTAAATAAAATGTTTTAGTAAATGTGCACTGAGGTGGGCAGTGGGATTATTTCACATTTAGCTCGTGTTCTGCCGATTGTTGTTTGAGTCAGTGACAGGAATTCAGGGTCTTTGCAGCTCCATTCTTGCTTTTTAATGGAGCTTGGAGTGCAAGAGCTGTATCACAAAATGCTGTGCTGCTGTGGATCAGCCCCCTGCACTTCCTGCAGAGGAGTTCATGTGGTTGGGAGGAGAGAGAGCCCTCAATAACTGCCAGGGATTGGTAACCTGGCACTTCATCACTGCAGAGTTTATATTGATGCTTTTGAAATAATTACATTTAGATATTGAATCTTTAAACCAATGCATTTAATGTCTAAAGTGGACCTTCCATTTCTGTGTTTTCAGGATCCTCGTTGTGGTCCTGCAGGAGAAAATCGCCGCCTTCGACAGCTGCACTTTCACCAAAAAATTCTTCGTCACCAGTACGTACAATTTTGGGCTCAGAGGTGGACAGAACAGATCTTTTTGTTTGTTTCTTTATTTCTAAATTCTCAAAGCAGGTCTCAGTGAATAATTTGGAGCTTCAGGAAAACTTGCTTCAAAAAAAAATCCCAAATCCAAATGCTTTTCTGTGAATATTGAACTCTTTTCTGTATTTATTCTTGCTGTTACTAATTGTAAAGGGCATCCACACTGCCATCCATCAGTAGCTGAGCAATTCTTGTGTTCATTTTGCACAAATATGTGTAAAAGCTTCAGGTGGGAGTTCCAGGTTATCACATCAGCAGCAATTCAACCCATATCAACAGTGATCTACCCACTGTTCATTTTTGGTTGTTCCTTAGGCACATTGGGGTTTTTTATGTGACTTTACAGTTCATCATTTACTTTGGAAAGGTCAGAGTTTTATTATTAAAAAGAATCTGCATTTTTCTGGATGTATTTTCAGTCACAATTAGAAAAGTTTAAATGATTTTTTTAATATCTCTGTATTTATAGAAAAAAATCTCCTTAGGAGAAGCTGTTTTTGTCATAGTTTGAGGGAAAGCAGCTTCATGCAGTAATATTAAAGTTGCCAATAGGTGTCAGTTTCTTCCTATCCATGGATGTGAGATATTGGGACTCTGCTGGGATTCAGTGACAAGATCCACAGGGGAAAGGATTTATTTGTGTCCTATTCATCACTCCCTTTTATTTCATCAAAAAGAATCAAGAGTACAAACCTTGCTTTATATTAGACCAAAAGTATAGAAAACCCCTCAGTTAAATGTGTATTGTGAGAATTTTTTGCCTTATTTTGTTGGGTTTTTTTAAGATACTGCAATTTATTTTAAAAAATTAATGCCCTGAAGTTAATTTTGAGGAGCAGGGATACTCTATTTCTAAACATAAGTTTGATTTGCTGTGTGTTTTGTGGAACAGCTGTGGAATTTAAAGAGGATAAAATAAAACTTTTGGAGATAATGATGAAATTATTTTTATAAAAGTCCAAAAAATCCTGAAATATCACTAATGCCAAATATTTCTCCAGCTGTGCTGCTTTTTAATATTAGAAACTCAAGATTTTCTGAAACTTTCCTCTGGTTTAATTAAGGACAGCCTCATTTTTGGGGCATTTTGAATGCTGCCAGAGCTGTAGCCAGCACAGCCCTTCCCTCTGGCAGTGCCATGCTGTGAGTGGGCAGAGCTGTGTTTTTTTCCTGGATTTATGGGTTTTGGGACCTGTGCTGAGGATCCCAAGCTCAGCCATTCCCTGGATCCTGCTCCCAGGCAGGTGCTGTGCCCTGGCACGTCGGGGCTGCAGCAGAGCTTTTGTCTGAGTTTCCCCATTTCATGTGCTGAAATCTCCTCGACCTGAGAGCGTATCTTGAAAGGCTTAAATTCCTCTGATGTGTTTGGAATGGGATGTAAATGAGCTCCCTCGTTAGCTGCAGGGATTTCTGGGAGGCAGCCAACTGGCCACTGCCTTCTTTGGCTGTGCCTTTGAAAAAAATTATTAAAGGACAGTGCCAGTATCAATTAAAAAAATGGAAATCCTTGAAAAGGAAGCTCAGGAAAAGGTCTTGGAGGCCTTTTTGTTTGCATTGTTGGGGCAGCCTGTGTCCTGTCCAGACTGGTGCTGGTGCACCTCAGCTCTGAGGATGTCACTGAGACATTTGACAGCATGAAAACAATTCTCTGACTGGTTTTGGTCAGAAGGGAGGGCACAAAGGGCAGAAATATTACTGAGGATCACTGGCTCTTTGAAGGGTTTTGTGTTACTTTTAGGGAAAAGAAAATCTTTGTTTTGAAGAAGATTTGGTGATGGTGTGGAAATCACCTCTTCCATCCCTAAGTGGTGTGGGAGCCTTAGAACCTCACTGAGACAGAACAAACGTGAAGCAGAAGCTCTGGTCTGTTTTGTTGATTATTTATACATAGAAATGAAATGCAGAATGTCCAATTAAAAGCAGTGTCAGGAATTCTGAAGTTCCTCAGAAATGCTAATGCAGCTGCCGTGCACATGAGGAGTATTTGTCTTTCTGTTTTTGTTTTTGTGGTTGGATGTGTAGCTTAATATATTGTTACAATAAATATACCATAAAATATTCAGGATGTAGATGGACAAGTTCGTGCTGCTGTTGGAATGTTTTAACTCCTGCATTTCCTGATTTTTCCTGAGCAAATTTGACATAGCACCAACCTTTGTTTTCCCCTGCTTGGGATTACATGGAAATGTGCTGATTTGACTTGGATGGCAGGAAGCCAGAATGTTTTATTTGTGCCTTTTGTTACACTGAGGTAACAAAACCTCAGTGTACAGGTGCTCCAGACTGGGAGAGGGAATTTAAGACAGGTGCTTAAATGTGGAGCAAAAACATGCTGTAACTATTGTAGAAAAATTACCAGGATATCCCCTAATCTACCCTGTGGGGTGTTCTGATTTTTAAATGTCTGCTAGGAGAAGGCAGAACATCAGTCTCATGGCAGTCACTTCCATCCATCACTGCTCTCCTCGTGCTTGGAGCCAGCTCCTTTTCCCTAAGGAAATACACCAAAGGGAGGAGAAAGCCCAGCAGGAATTTCACATCCTGCACTGGTTTAGGTGCTGGTGTGGCCAAATTAAAGAAAAATTCATTTGATGCTTATGTTAAGAATGTGTTTTCTTTACTAGTTAGTGAGTGTCAAGGTGTGGATTTTAAATAGCTTCTGAAGTAGCTCAGAGTTTAATTGTGCTTCAGTTCAGATTTCCTTCAGAGCCTTTTCTGCATGTGACTGAAGGATCAGAAACCAAAGTGATGCTCAGCCTTTTTTTGCCCCTACTTTGCTCTAAAGAAAAGCTGCAGAAAAGCTGAATTCCATTGATTTCTATTCCATCAGTGCTCCTCACCCCAAAACTGCTTACTTAGTGCTGATTATGAATATGGCCTGATGGATCCTTTCCTTCTCCATAAAGAATATCCTGCCCACCCCCTGGGCCCTGAGTTAAGATCCTCCCAGATAACATCATGCATGTGGCATCATCGCTGTGTCCGATACCGAGGGCCTGCTCAGCTTCCCTGGCCCTTCACTCCTCATATTGATATATTCTCCATCCAGCATTCCCCAGGGATGGAGACAGTTATTGCAGCCATTAGCTGGCACCACGTTGCTATTGATGCTGTTCTGTAGAGCCCTGAGAGGTAATTTTGCAGATTTTAGTCAGAGTAGTTTATTTTATAGAAAGCCTGGAAAGGTTCTCCTCACCCCCAGCCAAAATCAGTCTGTGGATGTTGAATGCCTTGCACCTCTCCAAGTGAATAAAACCCCCAAAGCAAATGCTGTTGGGTGCACTGATCTGCAGTTTGGATTTGGGATTGCTGCGTGCTCTCACATTCACACACAAGGAATAATTTGGTGGTTTCACTTTGTCACAAGGCTGGTCTGGAAATTTTCAAGGCTTTTTTGGACATTTCTGTTGGAATTCCTTTCCCTGTCAGGCTCGCAGGAAGCAGCTCGAGCTCTTGACTTTGAAGTAAAAACACTATGTGTCTTATGAAGGGGTTTAATGCCTGAAGAGTCACATTCTTCAAGAAGTTGTGTGTGTTTCCCTCCTCAGCTGTGGGCATTTCTCCTGGTTATCCCACACGGGATAATAATTGACAGGATTCCTTTGTCTGTGGGGGATCAGCTCCGATCGAAAGTCCTCAGGGCAGGTGGGAAGGGAGCTCCTGAGTCACAGGATTTTCTTGATCAGTGAAGAAGAGCCAAGTATGTCCCTGTGGATTGCTATAAGCACTTTTAATTTTTATACACCCACATTTATATGAGCACCTACCCCTTCGTGGTGTTTTTCCCTGAGAAATGTTGATTTAATTTTGCTTTTTCTTTTTTAGCGTTATATATAAGAGTGGTTTTTTTTTTTCTGGCTGTGGGGATCAGTGTCTCACCATTCCAGGATAATGCTGAAACACTTTTTGGAGAGATCTTTAGGGCACCCTGGGGGATTTATGAGAACAAACAGCTTTGGTGCTTGCAGGAGGTTTTGCTCCACTGCAGGAAAATGTAAATACAACAGAAAAGCTGCATAAAGCCACAACAGAGGCCTCAGTCCCCAAGATGTCTGTCTGTCATATCTCCAGGCTCTGACAGTTTTACAAATTAGATGTAAAACAGGAAGTGCTCTTTGTTTCTATAGAAGTTATTTTTATCTAAAGCACCCAAATCCTTAATGTTAAAGGGCAGACAAAGCCATCTGACATTGTCCTGCACAGAAACAACAACCTCAGTGGCAACTTTTATTATTTGTCACTGTCCAAGTCTGAACAAAAAAAGAAAGTAAACCTGAGATTAAACATTGCACTGAAATCAATCAAATTGGTGCTAAATTAAACAGCGAGGGCTAATGAACGTGAAAGGCCACTGATATTTTTTAGTGAAAGCTCTGGGATTGTGCTTGGACCTGTGGAGTAACAGTAAAATCATAAAGTGATGGAATTTGTGAGCTGGGAGGGACCCACTGGGACCATCCAAGTGTAGATGCTTCAAACTGCCATGGTAGAGTGCACAGGGAAGGAGATCTCTGTAGTAATAATAATAATAATTTAATAATAATAAAAAATAAGTAAGAAAAAAAAGGCCCTGGGTGGCAAACCTGATTTCTCAGAGGATCCATCCTGCTTCTTTGCTCTTTTACTCCATTTTATGGGTGATACTTAAACAGAAGGAAGTGCAAGAACAATGGAAGAGTTTTGGAAAGTATGTGACAGTGTGAGAGTAATAACATTTACACAGGGCCTTTCATCTAGAAGGAACCCAGAGGAATTTATAAACAATATTGCTTTATACAGTTTATAAACAACAAAAAAATTGGTTTGCTAAAAAAACCAAAAAAACAAAACAACCAACCAAAAAAAATATTAGATAAAACAACTTATATGATTTGTTTTCTTTGTAATAAACAAAGCTTTTGCTACAACAGTATCAGTCTACCCATTATTTATTGCATATTCCCTCTCTGTGC